CCGGCCCCCGAAGGGCGCCCCCCACGGGCCCCCGGAAGCGCGGCCCTATTTGCTGAGGGCGCCGCGCTGGCCGCCGCCATGTTTGGTAGGGGCGACCTGAGGCCGCGACCGCCATCTTTGTGCGAGGCGCAGGAGGCCAGGGGCGCTCTGGTCCGGTGGGGAGCCCCAAGACCCCCCTCCGGGGCAGCCACTGCCCTGCCCGCCCTGCCCGGTGCTCGGTGCCTGGAAAAGCCGAGAGCATGAACACCGGGCCCCCGGCACCCTGCGGTGGGAGCACCCACCCGCCCCGAAGCACATGGAGCACCCCAGCACGCGTGCCGCCACACGTGCACGGCCCAGAACACACAAGCACGCCCACGAATGCTCAAACGCGCACGCGCGCCCCCTTGCACACACATCTCAGCTCTGCACACGCGGCGCACCCGCGGGGCCCAGACCCGGCCCCTCCGCTCCCGTGTGCCCCGATGAAGGACAGTGTGCAAGAAGACGGAGCTCTGTCCCGCAGAGGGGAGTCGAGGCCGCTGAGCGGGGCAGCGCCGCCCCGCCCGGGCAGAGCCTGGAGCAGCTGCGCCGTTACCACGGGCCCTCGGACTGGGGAACCAGGGCGTCGCTTGGCGCAGTTTTCCCTTCGCTGAGGCAGGTTTATTTAGCAAACAATGCGTTTATGCCGAGCAATGCACCCGTCGCCTGGCAGCCGAGTCTCGCCCCTGGTGAGCGGGCGGGCTCGGGCCTGCGGAGACCCGCAGGGGCCCCGGGCAGCAGGTCAGTCGCCCGGCAGCCCCTTCGCCCAGCGACCCTGTGTCCCCAAACTGGTTCACACCTCTGTTTCTTGCGGATTTCTGATTGTTGCTACTCCCTGGTACTTGCAGAGACTGACACAAGGGATCTACCATGAGGTACTTCCCTGACAGGTCGCAAGGCTCAGCGCCCCGCCACCTCCATCCCCGCATCCTCTCAGGCGGGAAGGACGCTGCGCATGCGCACGCGTCGGGGACGGGGCCAGCACACGACCAAGCGCACAGGCAAGGAGGCTCCCTGCGTCCCGCTCACGTGACCTGGGCCTTGCCACGTGGCTAGGGGCCTCGTCACGTGGCCATGCCCGGCTCGCTGATTGGCTGCTGGCGCCACGCCTGTATCACGTGACGAAGCCAACGGGCAGCAGCTGGCGGGTGAGTGTTGGGCCATCCCGTCCTGTCCGGGGAGGCGCCCTCGCCCGCTCCGCGAAGACGCGTCGCGCAGGGGGAGGACTGGCTGCCCGTGAGCTCCACGGTTGCCCGGGTAACGGCGGCGCCAGAACTCCCCGGGTGAAAACAGAAGCAGGTCCGGGGCAAACCCCGCCCCCCGCTAGACGGAGCCCTGGCAGCACGTGCTTCCGGGTGCTGCCGCCCCCACGAGGCTGGGGACCCCCTGGGGGCAGGCCTTGCACGGGGCTGGGGGGGCCTAGTT